AGATGTAAAACATGGAGTTAATTCAGAATTTCAGGTCTCTGCTGATGGGTTGCTCAGATTCCAGGACAGAGTGTGTGTTCCAGGTGACAGTGAGTTGAAAAATGACATCACGACAGATATGTTTAACTTAAAGTTTGTCATGCATCCCGGAAGTACTAAGATGTATTAAAGCATGCGACCCCGATTTTAGTAGAACGGGATAAAAAGAGATGTTGATGACTTTGTTTTTAAGTGTTTGGTATGTCAGCAAGTCAAGGCAGAGCATCAACGCTCAGGTGGGCTACTTCAGCTATTACCGATTTTCGAGTGGAAGTGGGAACATATCACCATAGATTTCGTGACAGAGTTGTATAGGGCACACTCAGGACATGATGTCACCTGAGTAATTGTTGACCGACTTACCAAGTCTTCCCACTTCTTGGCCATCAAGATTACCAATCTCTTGGACAAGTTAGCAAGAATGTACATCCGATAGATAGTTAGTTTACATGGAGTACTAGTGGTAGTAGTGTCCGACAGGGATCCCAAGTTCACTTCTCGATCCTGGTCTAGCATTCATCAAGTTATGGGAATGAAACTGTTCTTTAGTACTGCATTCCACCATCAAACTGATGGATAGTCAGAAAGGATTATCCGCACACTTGAGGATATGCTCTGAGTTTGCGTTCTTGATTTCAAGGGGCATTGGGATGATCATCTACCCCTGATAGAGTTCGCCTATAACAACAGCTACCAAGCATGTATTGGCATGGCTCCGTATGAGACGTTGTACGGCCACCCATGCAGGTTACTGATATATTGGGAAAAAGTGAGTGATAGGAACTATTTTGCCCATATCTCGTAAAAGAGACTACAACCAAGATAGTTAAGATGGGAAGGAACATTCATACGGTACAGATCAGGCAGAAAAGTTATGTGGATACTTGGAGGAGAGATTTGGAACTTAAAAAATGTGATCAAGTGTTCCTTAAAGTCACATCTTTCAAAGGAATCCGTAGGTTTGGCAAGAGGGAGAAGCTGAATTCTTGATTTATTGGGCCATTTGAAATCTTAGACAAAATTTGTACCGCCGCCTACAGACTGACACTACCTCCAGAACTTTTTAGGGTCCATAATGTGTTTCATGTGTTTATGTTATATAAGTACAACCCGGACCCCTCTCACGTCTTGGCACATGAGCCTCTTTCACTCCAAGAGGATTTGTCCTAAGAGGTAGTATAGGTCAATATTGTGGACCAAAATAGCATATTACTCCGCAACTGGAAAATTTCATCTGTTAAGGTCCTATGGCAGAATCACACACCAAGAGAAACCACATGGGAGCTAGAATCAGACTTAAAAACCCAATACCCCCAGCTGTTTGATTGAGTGAGAGAGCGACAAATTTGAGGGACCAAATTTCTTTTAAGGGGGGAGAGTTGTAATACCCAAATTAATTTATAAATATAATATTTAATTTTTTTTTGAATTTTAATTTAATGTAAAAATGAAGAAAAATAGGAGTAATATGAAATTGAAAATAATTTTGGGAAAAATGGGTGAAAATTTAGGTTCTGAACTATTTTTGAAAGAAAAATCAGAAACTGAGAGTCAAAATACAATTTAGAAAAGTTGTGCCGCGTAGGATGCCCAGTCAGTTGCCCCGACGAACTAAAATGCGCCGCATGGCAACGAACGCTGACGCGGTGCCATGCAAGAGGCCACGCGGGCGATCCACGTGCTCGCTATCGGACTACCCAGATTCACTCATGCGCGCTCGGATGACCGAATTTGTTCCCTCCCTAAATACGATAGGACAGTCAGATTTAAACGCGATTAACGGTCTAGATTCATTCCTTATTTAATCGCGATCAGACAGTGCAGATCAAACGCGATGAACGGCTCAGATTAAAAGGGGAAGAATATAAATAACCATCTTTACACCAAACTCTAACCCTAGCCGCTAGATACCCTCGCAAGAGAAGAAGACCTAGCCGCGGGCAAGGAGAGCCGCCGCCACCCACCGCCGCGCCGGAATTTCAAAATTGGCCAGAAAGAGGTCCTGACTCCGATTTTGGATTTTTTAGGATATTTGTAGATACTTGTAACGCGTTTTAATTTCTGAATAAAAATTCAAGGAAACCGAGTACTGCCAGTAGGTGTAGTTAACAAATTTAGCTTTTCGAGCATTAATTTGAGTAAGAATCTCTCACCCTATTCTCTATTATGGAATTGATGTCAAATTAACAATAATACGATGTTTTGTGCAATTTAAAAAATATCCATAATTAATTACATATTATTAATAAAGACAAAATCGAAAATTATTCACTGTTGATTCTGTTGATTGATTTTATAATTTAATGCATGATAGTATCTAATTGATCGATTTTATAGTTTTGAATGCATGTATTGTTTGTTTTATATGATTACGGTTGAATTAAAAAACTGAAGATTAAAGGTAAACGAGGAACTCTGTTATTAAGTAAATGGATGAAACGACAGCCTTATTGGATATTTTGAGAGATGGTGGACGAACTGGGTGCATAGGGAACCCTACGTGAATGTTACCTCATACCGATGGGGTATGGGGACAGTCCGTTTCACCTTCATATCGGACGGAGTTTTGAGGTTTTGTAATTTGGCACTCATACAAGACGGGATATTGAGCTTTTGTAATTTGGCACTCATACCGTACGAGGTATGAGGACAACCCATTAATTGAAAATGTTAAAGAAAAGAGTTCAAGCGTTGTAGGGACATCCTTATGAATCCCAATAGATATTAGTAGGTTGGTAAAAGAAAAATTGTTGTTCCAACTGATTACATATAAAATCATGATATGCGTTATATTATTGACTCTACATGTTATTTTGTAAATCTCGTTACGTTAAGTAGACAGTAAACGATTTTGTTATGATAAATGAATTTGTTTAATTAAGAACTCCATTAGTTATTTTGATTTTTTTACCAATTTTCATTTCTGTATCGGTGAGTAGCATGATATTGTTATTGGGTTAGTGTTACTCATTCTTTTATTAGCCATTTCAGAATAAAAAGATCATGATCCAGAACTCAATTCACAAAAGGGTTGCGAGTAGGATGCTAATTTTTTTTATTTATTTTCTTAATTATTTTTATATTTATTTTAAAGATAATTCTTAGAGTACTATTTGGTATTTTAAGTTATTGTGTAAAAAATATAAACATTAACTAATTATTTCACTTCCGTATTTAATTTATAATTTATTTTTTTTTTATTTTTGAGGTGGTTAGATATAAGTAAAATAACCAAACCTTTTTAAGTTAAGAAAATTAATACATACATATATAGATATATATATATCAGTCTATATGTATTTCCACCAATATCAATACCAGAGCAGTAGCACACTCTCGATGAGTCTTTAAACCGGTTAAGTCTACTTATTCGGCTTTAATAATTACAGTCTTAATTGTGAGTCAGCATTTTCCAAGAAAAATTATTGAAGGTATTAAATTCTTATTATAACCAAAAAAGAAGGTTTTTAAAGAGGCAACTTGGTATTAAACATTAAGCATTAAATTTACGGTAAATTTTGAAAATATGTTTCAAAAGTCAAAATGATGGAGTCCCTTCATGAATTTTTTTTTTTTAATAAATGAAATCAACGATATTTATATTAATTTTAATTTAATTAATGTCGTATTTATTAAATTTTCAGTGGGTCAAATTGGTATGTTTAATTAATTATGATAAAATTATTTAAAATGTAAAAAAAAAAAAAAAAAATTCATTATTAAAATTTGCATGGAGGACCTATCCGATACGTATACTGAAAATAATAGAAGTGCATTTAATCTTCTTAACTAAATGATTATTAAGGAGAGTGCAGTTAGGCAGTAAGTCATAAAATATTAATTAAAATATTTTTATAATTAAAAAGAAAAAAACTGACTATAAGGTATTATATAATATAATGTTATAATATATATTATATGTAATAACACACATGCACACTAGAGGTAGGTTCTGGACAAATACCATTTAAAAAAAAAAAAAAAAAATCCTAAAGTCAACACTATCGATATTTATATTACCATAAAAATATATCTTATTAATTATACGTCAACTACATCTCTATCTCTTATTATACACAAGTTATAATTAGATTCTTACAATATACTATTTACATAATATAATTATATATATATATGTTATTTTTAATTTGAATGTCATGTGATGTTTTTTTGTGTGTTTTATTTATTATATTAAAAAAATATAAATATTTTGTATAATAAAATATACATAAACATAATGAACAACAACAAATATAATAAATTATATGGTAAGCTAAATTACAAAGTCATAAACACATGTTAGGTATACGGATGTATAGATAGGAATTTGGTCCACTCAAATTTAGTCAATTCATTTTGGTCCAGTCTTGGTAAGGACATGTTACCCAAAAATTAAATATATATATATATATATATATATACACACACAAAAACTTTAACTAATAAATGTAAAATATATAAATAGCGATGCTACTTCTACTTCCTACCTTCCTCACTAAATATGTATGCATTTACGGTCTATCTTTTTCGTCAAACGTGTTCGTGTTAGTATTCATGATACGTCTATTATATTATGATTATTATTTAATTTATTTTTATTTTTTATATATTTATTTTATTAGTAGAGATATGATATAAATCTTTACTTTATTTCTCCACTACCCTTTTGTGTTTATGATTTATGTTTAATTATTGATTTTTGATACGTAAATATAATATGTTTATGTTTAATTAAAAATCTAAATTAGAAAATACTAGTCCAAACTCAATCAGACAATATGGAAGTGGACGCACCTGTGCCGCGTTCCCATCACTCAAACGCGCTCGGTAAATATGTGTCCCAGCCCGGCCCTGTCCCACATCAGGCGGAGCCAGATCCGGCCCATTAGATCCCTACTTCGGCTCAGCGTGGGCTTAAACTGAATAGTTAGGTTAGGACTGGCCATTTTCCCGACTGCTCGAGGCCTCGACCTAAATCGTTCCTCTGCCCTTGCTCTGTTATTTCAGACTGATAAACGTTTCCGGCGAACTCGAAACGGAAGCGATAAAAATTCATCGTTGTCGTGGAGCACACCGTACGTACGCCGGAGGTGCGTAGAAGAGGAGGCTTCTGGATTGGTTGCTTGTTTCAGTTCATACATATTTGTTTGTTGGCTTAAAAATTATTACCTTCGCCTCTAAATTGAAAAGAGGATCGATCTGGATAGCTCCTATTCTTTCTTCGTTGATTAGGGATTTCAGAGTTGACAGAAGGAAGTATATACATAGAAGAGGAGAAAATGGAGGAATATCCGGAAGAATTGCGGACGCCACCAGTGGGACTGATATCGCTGGTGGGATGTCCAGAGCTCCACGCCACCATTACCAAGTTTCTTCACTCTCAGCAGCCTCCTCTCAACACTTTAGCCTTCCCCGACTTCTCCAAGATTTCTCTTCTTCTCTCTGCCTCCACCACCTCTAAAGATCCGCTATCTCATTCTTCGACTGCTGCTGCTGCCGGCATCTTGAAGAGAGATTGGCTTCTTAAGCATCGGACCAAGATCCCCGCTCTGGTCGCCGCCCTCTTTCCCTCACATCACGTTTCCGGCGATCCCACTCAGTGGCTCCAGGTCTGCTCCGATCTCGACAACCTCAAGTACTCTTCTCCTCTCTCTATCTTGCTTGCGTTTTTACTTCTCATCTCAGGCCCGGCGTTGCTAACTATAGACTTATTTACCCCAGAGCAGTAATTCGTCCCAAAAACATCAAATTGGTTGTCGTCGTTATCCATTCTTCCTCAAACGGTAACTGCTGCTTCTCTGTTACATTTCCCTTTCCTTTTTCCTCTCATTTCTCTCACACTATCGCAAAATGCGAGCTGCCTGTAGATGAAATCAGTGAAGACCGTATAATTGCTATACGGAAGCGTGCTGAACTAGATTCGAAGTACCTCCTTTTCTTCAACCCCGATGTAGATTCGGAACTCCAGCTATCTCTAAAGAGGCATGTCGTTTCGCTTGCTTGCTCTCCCCCTTCCTCCTGCTATTTCTTCTTTTCTAAGTTACAGAGTTGTTCCGCATCGTTTGTTCTCGTCATTACGTGTTTACTGCTTTGCAGGCTGCGCACCACGTTTGAAGAGTTGGCAAATGCATATTATAGAGATGAGGGCAGGAGAATTAAAACACGCATTGAAAAGAAGACCTTCAGCTCTATTGAGTTGCATGTTCGCTATTGCTTTAAAGTAAGGATTATCATTTGCTTTATCTCGGGCACTAAATAATTCTGGATTGATCGTCATTTTCTAATTTCACAAAAAACAGCAGTATGCAATATTAATATTCACTTTGATTTGAAGTGCTCGCAAAAGATGATTGCAACTAAAAATTCTATTTTTCATTTTCCGACTTCACAAAACGAGCTATCTGCATGCTTATCTTTTATCTACATCTATTTGATTATAGCATGCTCAAAAAACATGGTTGCAAAAAAAATCTTTATATTATTTGTTACTGTCTGCAATATTTTAGACAGTAGTGCCGCCTCTTTTTAGTTGATCAGCCTCAAATCATCGACATTCAGCTCGGACAGCTTTTTATATGTATATGTAAAATTTATTACATAACGTAAAGCTTCTTTTGGTTGTTGTTTACTTATCTAAATGCTATGAATTGCTAGGTTGCTGTATATGCAGAGTTTCGTAGAGAGTGGGCTGAAGCTTTGAAGTTCTATGAAGATGGGTATCACTTACTGCGAGAGGTATGATTTACACCTCTACACCTGCTCCTTTTCCTTCTGTTGTTTCATACCATCATATGCCAATTTCTGACACATTCTTCACATATTGGATAGTATTGTGTACTGCGTGCACTTTTGCACACTTCAACTCAAATTTTTCTTTTACTGAAAATTTAGAACTGCAACTATGTATGCAGATGGTTGGGACATCAACGAGGTTGCCTGCAATTCAACGGTTGGTCGAGATAAAAGCTGTTGCGGAGCAATTGCATTTTAAAATATCAACTCTGTTATTGCATGGTGGAAAAATCATGGAAGCAGTTACATGGTTCCACCAGCATAATGCTTCTTACAGGAAGCTCACAGGAGCACCAGAAGTTATATTTCTTCACTGGGAATGGATGAGTAAACAGTTTTTGGTGTTTGCTGAGTTACTGGAGACTAGCTCAGCAGCCATTCAGAGTGCACCAACTTTAGTGCTGAGCACTGCAGGAGGACCTTTGACAGAGTGGGAATTTTATCCAGCATATTATTATCAGGTAAGTACAAGATTTACCTCCATGATGTTTTGTACAATATTTAAGGTCAATATGGATCTTTTGTAGTGCCACTGTACTTGCCATCTTAGATGTGTTATCCCTTTTGCACTTTGAGTTTAAACTAAGGAGCACCATGGTTAAGCATCACTTAACTTGAGATAAACTCTTCTTTTTCTTTCTTTCTTTCTTTTTTTTTTTTTTTTTTTTTTTAATCACAATGGAGTTCTATTCTGTATTTCTATACAATTAGTTACGTGCTTTATTACAAGTTCAGACCTTACGCATTCTATTAAAGAAAAAGTTCAGACCTCGCGGACATGTTGCTTCACGGAACTTTCTTTAATTTGTTTACTCATTGGTCATGTTTAGAACTTTTTCATTCTTTTAGAATTCTATTCCAATGTAAGGTGGATGCATCAATATTTCATCTCTTGCAAATACGATGATCTTAGTTTTGCCCTTTTGTCCATGCCTTTCTTCTTTGGTGAACTTGAATTGGCTGCCTACATACTTCTCATTGCTACTGCATGTGAAGAATGTACTGTTATTTATTCATTGAATAAGGCTCTATATATACAAGTAAATAGTAATAATAAAAGGAAATAATATTAAAACAAAAATCATAAAGATTGGGGTATATTGCTAATATACCTTTTATTATAATGTAATTCTAATGTACACTTCTTAATACTCCTACTCAAGTTGGTGATAGATATTATTCATTCCTGCTTGGTACAAGTCTCAAAGTAATGACCGTGTGTGAAGCACATATCAATCCACTATCTAGCTTTTCTTTAGTGAAGTTTCTGTCCACTTCAATATACTTAGTTCTGTCATATTGTACTAATTGTGAGCGATACTAATTGCTGACTTATTGTTATAGTAGAGTCTTATAGATCCATCCCACTAAATCTTCAAGTCTTCTAAAATCATCTTCAACCATAAAAGCTAGCACACCCTCGAGTTATAGCTTTGAATTCTGACTCAGCACTATATTAGGCTGCCATATTCTGCTTATCAATCCTCCAAGTCAGTAGATTTTCTCCAAAAAATGTGCAATATCCATAAGTGAATCTCTTGTTGACTAGTAATCCTACATAGTCCGTATGCTTCAAGAAACAAGCCATTATTTCTTTTGAATATAATCCCTTTATGCAGAGTACTTTTTAAGTAGTGAAATATTCTGTAAACAGTTTGTAGGTGTACTTCTTTAGGCTTGTGTATGAACTGGCTCACCATACTGCATACCAATGCCTGGTTTGGTATGCGAAA